CCCCGCCCACGCCCACGCCCCACGCCCCTTCCCCGTATCTCTGCAGGGCTGGACGTGGAGGACGACGCGGGCGGGGAAGCTCTCCAGGTTAACCTCTATGGCGCCGCTGGACACTACATTCCCCACCACGATTTCGTCGGCGCCCACTACAAGGCCGTGAGTGGGCGGGTGGTTTCGGGTGGGCGTTTCTGTCCATTTTGAAGGAGAGGGTTATGTACTGTGGGGGCTTTAATGTATATGGTGGTAATTTTTCCTTTATGTAGTTGGTAATAATAATAATGATGATAATAATTGTAATAATAATAATATTTTTAATAATTTTAATAATAGTAAGATTTTTAATAATTTTAATAATAATAATAATAATAATAATAATAATAATAATAATAATAATGATAATGGTAATAATAATGATGTTAATAATAATGATACGGTAAAGTCAAGACCTTACCGTATGTTGTGATAATTCTTCAATTATGTTGTTTGTTTGTATTTTCTTTCTTTCTTAGATCGTTTTGTCGTTGTATTCCTATATGCTGTTCTAATTATTGTCTTGTTTGTTTTGTTTTATTTATTATCTATTTAGTTTTATTTATTATTTATTATTTTTGTTTTATTTATCATTTATTATTCATTTTGTTTTATTTATTATTTATTATTAATTTAGTTTTATTTATTAGTTATTATTTATTTAGTTTTATTTATTATTTATCATTTATTTTGTTTTATCCATTACTTATTATTTTTTTATTTTACTATTATTATTTATTTTGCTCTCTTCATTATTCTCTTTATTATTTTGTTTTGTTTTCCCTCCTTTCCTTTTCCCGCCTTGTACGCGTGGATGCAGTGGGAGATGCAGCCCCCTGATGGCCGCACCCTGGCCCTCCACCCACTCGGGGACCGCATCGCCACCTTCATGTTTTATGTGAGTGTTCTCATCTTGTCAAATTTATAGGGTTTAGAAACTTGTATAGTATTTGATTTTTATGTGAATTATGTGAGTGTCCTCATCTTATTTTTATGTGAATTATGTGTGTCCTCCTCTTGTCAACTTTATAGGGTTTAAAAACTTGTATTGTATTTAATTTTTATGTGAATTATGTGAGTGTCCTCATCTTGTCAAATTTATAGGGTTTAAAAACTTATATTGTATTTAATGTAAATTTGAAAAACTCATATTTCTCAAATTATATAAAGCGGTGTAGATAACTATATTAATTAGTGTAACTTGTATAGTATTTAATTTAAATGTGAAAAACTCTATAAAGCTGTGTAGATAACTATATATTTATATTTATAGGGTTTAAAAACTTATATAGTATTTAATTTTTATGTGAATTATGTGAGTGTCCTCATCTTGTCAAATTTCTAGGGTTTAAAAACTTATATAGTATTTAATGTAAATGTGAAAAACTCATATTTCTCATATATAAACTGGTGCAGATTACTATATTAGTGTGATTTATGATAAAGTAGATTCATTGGGTGGAATTATAGCTAAATATATTTTTAAATAATTGAATGCTGACTATTGGTTACCATTTTTCAAAATGGCCGCCAGTGGCAGCTGTTTTCAGGTTATTTTTCTTACCAATGATGAACAAATGATAAATGAGGATGTATTTATTATCCACGTTTTCCGGGTCTGGGGGATAACGTTTGGATAACGTACGGAAGGCATTCGAGATTCGAAAAGGCTGCCATATTTCAAGATGGCGACCAATGACCGGTATGAAAATTATCTGAGAGGGATGATTTCGGTTTCAAATTTCATATTTCTACGATGAAAGGGAAAGTTAGAACTCTTAATTTCACGGCTAGCATAACAGTTATAATAAAACAAATTAACACAAACTAGCCCATTTACATAAATCCCAAAACCTTAAATAGCTTTTATATGAGACAGAACAATATGCACTGCTCTTCCATGACATGTTGACTGTCACTATCAATCCACCGCTTGTAATAACAGTGATTTAGTTTAAGTTCTTTAATACTGTCAAACGTTAGCTTCACATGCCAATACTCTGCATATTGAAATGAATCGTCAGGATGTGCCAGCACGGAGAACCAAGGCAAGAGTAACAAGACTTCCATACAAATTTAACTTGATCGTGTGCAAATCACACAGGAATTAATTTAAACCGGACTGGATGAATGATCGCACTAGATTTATCAGGTATTACGCTCGGATCTTGTTTATCCCATACCTAAATGTGTTTTCCGATAGAAGAGTATGGCTAAAAACTACCTGTGACTAAAATAGGTACATAAAACCGATGAACATTACGAAAATTGTGTTGATTCACCTGTCGTTACCATCTCAGATTTTAGATACCAACCTTTGCTCTCTATCGACCATGACTATTTATATAAAAGTATACGACAGGCATTTTGCATAATCCACATACATCTCATCACTATTACATCTTTTAAAATTCATGACCGCGAGAGAGTAAAAGTCGGCATCACCCCCACTGAGATGCTATCGAGAGATGAATCAACAAGCCATTCAAAAGGTGTTCATCTCCTTTGTACACTCTGGAGGACGAGGTTTGTACATTTCAACACAGTATGGACTTCTGTTTGGATTATGCAAGCTATTGAAAGGCAACATAAGCCTATATAGAAGAGACAGGCCGATTTTCAAGCTAGTTGACCTTGCACCGCTTTGCAGGTCATGCACAGAATAAGTTGTAGAAGTTCATGATAGAATTTGCTTAACCTGATTGGAGAAGAGCCGGATGCAGGCGAGTCCGGCTGTGACCTTGTCTCCTGGAATCACAAGGATGCGATATGCACAGAAATGCTGCCTCAGATAGCGTCAGCGACTGTGAAGGGAAGTGCTGAAGCGTTTCCTGAAAAGTTCCAAATTCGAATTCTGTATCAAAGAAAATGAATGATTCAACATTCAAGCTATTGAACAACTGTGTCGATGTACCATTTACAATTACAGACATGAGCGCCATCTTGAAAATGTTCAGCGACTTGTGTGCATCATTCAAATGGTGATTCCCATGACCTATGATACAATACAACTTGTTAACCATTTCATATCCATCAGTTGTCGCTGGCGGCCATTTTGAATAATGACTACCCACCCACCTAATCATAATGCTTAATACTTTTCATAATGCGCTTTTTATCACACATTTTCAAGAAATCCCGGCCATACTACTCCCGCTACACCATAAAAATACATAAAAGAAAATCAATCAATGTAGCAGTTCAGCTCGACGTTAAATGGCAACCGTTTTACCGATACAAAACCTTTCTTTTGTAGATGAATGACGTGGAAGAAGGCGGCCGGACCGTGTTCCCGAGGGCGAGGGTGGGCGTGGAACCGAGGAAAGGAAGTGCTGTGTTCTGGTGGAACTTACTGCCCACCGGAATGTCGGACTTCAGGACCCTGCATGGGGCGTGTCCCGTCATTCGAGGCACCAAGTGGGGTGAGTGGGAATGGGACTGCGAGGCTTGACTGGAATAATGTCCTCTTCTTGTTTTGTGTTTTACTTTTAGTTTTCTCTTTCTTCTTCTTTTCCCCTTTTCTATTTTACTTTCTTTCTTCTTTTGCCCCCCCCCTTCTTTCTGTTTGTTTACTGGTTTACGGTTTGGTGGTAGTCTTCGGTTGAGAAAAGTTATTTTTTATTCTTTCATTTTTTTTTCTCTCAGTATTGGCCATAAGTTGAAGTAGGTTGGAGAGCATAAAAGGAGTCTTGATAGAAAGCTCTGTTTGTGTGTGTGTGTATGTGTGTGTGTGAGTAAGAGTGAGAGTGAGAGTGAGAGTGAGAGTGAGAGAGAGAGAGAGTGGGAGAGATTGCGTGTGTGCGTATGCGTGTGCATGTGAGTACGTGCCAGTGGCGCGTTTGTTTGGTTATTTGTCTCTCTTTTTATCTGAACTTTTTTTCCGTTAATTCTTTCTTACTCTCCCCCTCCAACAGTACTTTAAACATTACCGTTATCCCTTTTCCTCCTCTTTCAACAGTGTCCAACAAGTGGATCAAACACCACCCACAGCTCCACCGACGTCCGTGTCCTGTCATCTAAATGTGGATCCCTGTCTGGCGTGGCCATAAGGCTCATGAACCTTTACATATATACTTTATGTTCTTGTTATGCAAATGTATATGTCTACCTGCTGGTAGTTTTATTATCATTATGATTATTATTGTTTCTGTGGTAAGTATTATTGTTAAAAGGCTTTTTAAGTATGATTTTTTTTAGTATAGGTGGAAAAAATGCTGCTGATGATGTGGAAATTATTTCTATTCAGAATAAAAAAAAATAGGTTCAACTCACAGGTGCAGTACTTTACCATGAACAAATGTATTTAAATGAGAGCATTAACACCTTTATTAACAGTGAATAAACATATTACTGGTTAATGATACAAAAGTTGTGAGTAAAGGTCTAAAAGTGTGAAATTATCCTAATGAAATCACCAAAAAGACTGAATGAATAAATAATACTGGTACATTCACTAATTGTTTTTATACATCACAATGCACCTTCTTCAAAAGGCTGTTACCTTTTATCTACTTGAAAAATAATAATCTGAATTATTGTATTCAAAAATGTTTTATAAACAAATGTAAAAGTCAATATATTTGAAGTAAATACCTGGATAATTTATTCCATGTTTAATCACTGAAATATGTACTAAGTTCCCTACTATGCCAAAGATAAGGTGATAATACATATGAAAGTATAAATATAACTTTATTTCTTAATCTGCCTCAGTAATTAACATGATATACAGCCACAGTTCATTTCTTTTCAACAAATACAATTATCTATGTACACCACAAAATGTAATGGTCAAAATAAATATTCTTGAAGCTTAAAATCCTCTGGCAGTTTTTATACAAACAGTAGCTTTTATAGGGTACAAGAAAGCAACTCTTGAGGTATGACACGACAACTTTGTATCTCAATAGTAAATGAATCTTTGGCACATGATCTGCTTAATGATTAGATCTCTTTGACTATGACTGACAAGGTAATCTTACATCATAAAATACAGTGCAATCCATTTTAAAACATTTTTTATGACAAACAAAAAGAACCGTATAGTCAACCTTAACTTACTGAATAATGAAAGGAAATAACCTTGGGATTAATACTACCGTGCTATGCAACATCACAAACAACATGCAGTCTCTATACAAACCATTTGTTAAACTAATCTCAAAGATCTGGTTGTTCTGGTGACTCGAGGTTCTGTCTCCTTCTTCACCCTGGTCCTGGAGGAGGTTGGCTTTGTTTTGGCTTCATCTTTGGGAACCCGAGACTTTAACTTCCTCGTTCTTGGTTGTACTGACTCTGTGTTATCGTCTAGACTGATTTCCATGTCGTCGCTACCTTTCGAAGCATTCTCCAGTGAGTTATCCTTGTCTGAGAAAGTAAGCGTTTTGGATACTGTCGACTCTTTTGCCTTTCTGATCGTCCTCTTTTTCCCTGGTGCTCTTGATGCTGGTGACACACGAGCATCTTCACCTTTGTTTTCTATACCTTTCGAAGATCTCGAGCTTTTGGGACAGGGGGAGATGGAGAAAGAGTTTGGCACCTTCAAAACCAGTTTTGTTGGGCTATCATCCAAAGCTAGCTGCCCCAACTTTGCCTCTACCCCAGCCATATCCTTCTTTCTTTGGGCAGCGCTTTCTGTCCTGGTGTTCTCTCTCTTAGTGGCCACCTGTCTCTTATACACTCGTGTCGGTTTATTACTCTGAGGTGGTGGCGTGGGGGCCCTAGAAGGCTTTGCTGAAGTTTCCTGTGTATCTTCATCATCACTGTATATGCTGAAATATTTCCCTTCCTTGATGAGAGTGCTGGGCATGGCGAGAGTTTTCTGGCCTGTTTTAATGGCAGACTTAGCTGAGATTTTTGCCTGAGACCTTGCTGGTGTTTTGTAATCATATATGTTTTTCTTTTCATCTCCATTTGGGGTTACAGAACTTTCATCCGCAGCTTCATCTATTGGGATAAATACAATAAATGAATAACTGAATAATTAGCTCAAGTGAACTAATTAGTATTTAAATGAAAGTATTGAGTGAAACAAGTCAATGAATATGAATGAAGGGGACTGAAAAGAACAAGTAAGTTCCCTTGTCACATTGCTTCATATCTGGAAATGAATCCAATACCATATGAAGATTACTTGAGTATATGTATAATTTCTACAGTCAAATAAAATTCATAGCAAATAAAGCCTTTATAATCTGCATCTGGTATAACAAATCTGGTTTCAACTATGATCACATTTAAAAGAAAAACAACTAAAGATCTTACCACCACTTTCAACACTTTCCATCTGATGTTCTTGTGTTCTCTTCAAGATCTGGCCTTGTAGTATGATAACAGTGATAAAATGCATGTTTTGATGTAACATCTGTCAAAAAAAGAGATGTACATTAAAACAATTAATTTAATAATCAAATTATATTCTAAGCATTATGAAACACGCTATCTCCATGATACTCGCTTTATTCACATATATAATGCAAATTTCAGACTTCACTGTATCTGAGATGATATCCCAATTTTATATAATGATATATTATTATTGTTATTATTATTATTATTATTATTATTATTATTATTATTATTATTATTATTATTATTACTATCATTCTAAATACTACACAGGCACAGTTTTTTCCCCTGCTTTGGTAGTTTCAAGAAAATCCTCATACTGTACACATGCATGCACAAAAATCAAGTATTCAAAACCACTTACATGTGAATCTAGTGATCTAATAATTTTGAGAGCTTTCATATTGATAAGTAGAGCCTGGTCCCATTTTTTCTCCAGTGCAAGGCTCTCTGCGTGGTGGTGCATAGACTGAAGATACACCTGGAAGAATAAAATCAGATTAATAAAATGGTAAATATTGGTATTCCTTGGGAGTCAATTATATAAGAAGGTATGCATGCCAAAAGATCTTATCAGACTAAGCGCTCAAAATACATTTATTAAATGTTTGTTTAACATTTCATCTATAGCAAGTTCACATAAATACAATATGATCATGAGATTGCAGTGCATTAATGTGAACATACTAATCTGAGAACACCTTTGAATGTACATGCCCTCATATGACCACCGTATGCTTGACCCATTAAAAGATAAAATGGGTGGCATCAAATCCTCCAGTATTTACATCATGAAGTATGTAGATTTAAGCTCTCAAATTACATCTTATAGGAAACCCTTACATACTATAATATAACAAATATGCTAGCACTTACTAGATTCAACCTTGACTGAAGAAAAGTGGCAAATGAGGTACTTTTCTTGCTTCTGGCACTTATAATTGACGTCAGATAATTGGTGAGAAAAGCCGCTTTTTCTGTGATATCATCATACATTTCCATAGCCTGCAACATAATATATTCAAGATATAGAGCCATATATCTTGATTTTTTATATGTGGACAAATTTTTTAAAATAATATCAAAACTTTTTTATAGAAACAAAACCTGCTGTGAGAATTTTTTAAAGCACTAATACAGATATGTCTCTGGTATACTACCTGTCCTACTAATAAGAGTTGTACATAAACTAGTGTGTCTTTTTGCCACAGAACTCTAGTTTCACTGCTTACAAACTTTAAAAGTAATGAAATTACAAAAAGAAGCTTAATTTCCATGGGAATATGCATCCATCAAGTATTGGATTTCAGTGAATCTGAAAACAGTAGGAAATAAATATCTGATTATATCTGCATCTATATAGCCATATGGCATGAATGGATTGATTTTAGATGACACTGGACATGCATACAGATGGATGTTAAATGGGGAAACACCCTTTTTTAAACATCCACAGCTCCCCTTCCATACACACACTAACTCTCGCTCACACACCTTTCACTTTCTCACACGCTCACACTCTTTCTTTGAGACTGAATTTGCTTACCCTCTTGAAACATGTTTGCGCTGCTATGTGTTGTCCATTATGGGCATGAACAAGAGCCAGGATTATTGCTGTGGATATGTGGAGTTCCTGCAGAGCTGGAGTAGAGCACATGACACACTTCACTTGCCCATCTGGACAGGATTCCACTCGTACAAGAGTAACATCTTCCCGATACCTCATTGAAGGGGACACTGGCTGCCGTGGGTGTGCCAGTTCACCTATGCGCTCCTCAGCTCCCACCACAACTAGGCCCGGGTGGTTGTGGAAGGCCTTCAATTCATAATCTGGAGCTGCGCTGCAATCTCGCATCTTTTCCTCACTGTCAATTTCAATCTCGGAAAGAACCTGACAAGACAGCTTGCCCTCATATGGTTTGGTATTCATGGTAACATGCTTGGCTACTTTGGCATCCTTTGGTAGGTATTCTTGAGCATGGGTTGGGTGGGCAATGAGCAAGGCCAGCAAACTGTCAACCTTAACTCGACAGTCATCCAGCTGGTCACACAGCAAGTCCACTCGAGCCAGTAGCTCCAGCAGCTCTCCCGTCCTGTACAATGGTAATCCGTATCAAAATGCTGACTTACATAATCTAGATTAAATGAATATCTCTATGAGGGAATTTTATAAAAATTCTGAAAGTTCTGGTAAAATCAAAGCTTGTGGTTCAAACACAGCTTTTCTTAGTAAGCACAAAGATTATCTTGAAAGCATAGTTGATTCCTGATAATAATTTATTGCTTTATTAATCATTAGGCAAATCAGTTACAGCATTATCTAATTAGCATCAGTACGTAACTGGCATTTCAGATATCATACTCAACTATTTAGCTTTAAGATATTTCAGACAATTGCCTACTATTGACATCTCAATATGTACTGGCATAAAAAAAAAAAAAAAAAAAAAAAAAAAAAAAAAAAAAAAAAAAAAAATATATATATATATATATATATATATATATATATATATATATATATATATTTTTTATATATATATTTTATATATATATATATATATATATATATATATTATACATATATATATATATAAAATATTTTATACAGCACTTTTCTTGAATTATGAAAACAAATTATATTTCAAAAAAGTTTTCTAAGTGAAAAATATAAATGTATCATCTTTACCTCAGTGGAAGAGCTAATTCTTGTGCAATTTTGAGAGGCTGCTTGAGGTATGCCCGTGCTTGGCGGGGCTGAGCCGACATTAGGCACTGGTTGCCAAACCAAACTGTCGTTGTTAAATGAAGCCAAGCTACTCGATGCCGCCAGCAGATTATATCTGTGGTGTATTGTAAAATGATCATGACTCTGTTTAGATAGAATTCAAATTTAAAGACAAATCTCCTAATTCTTATTTCCAACTTTGCAGAGCATAAACATATTACAGAAATAATGCATGCACCTAACCATTACTAGATGAAGTTGCGTATGACTCCACAAGTGCATTCGCCTCACGGCATGCCAAAAGAGCTAGTGATATGCTTGGCTGCGAAGGTTTCTTAGCCTCCTCCAAGACCCAGTGCGGAAGGCCTGCATACATAGAGGCTACAAAGTGCACTATCGTCTGAGCTTCAGTGGCCCTCACAGTCCGCTTATCCATTACATCACTCTTAAGGGCTTCAGACATGTACAAGACTCCTTCACTGTACTGGAAAAATAGCATAAAATGGTCACATTTTACTATTTAGTACTAGCACACTAACTTTTTTTGTGTTCTTGCGGTTACATTTTCTTACTTTTCATTTCTCATTTCAATGCAAAAGTAAAAATAAAATTACTTTTTCTAGACAAAACATTTCTGTAAGTGTTCCTATTCAATACCAATTTCATCACCTATCACTTAATATTTTAATTTGAACTTACCTCGAATTTAAAAAATGAACAATTCAAACCTTGAACTAAACTCTACCAATAAAACCTTCCAAAAATGCATACATACCTGACCCAATTTGAGATAGTAGTAGGCAAGTGCTGTGATAGCAATCAGGGTCACATACACTACAGACGGATCCTGGTTACTGCTAGCTTGGCATGCAGTAATGGCCTCCTTGGCCTCTTTTACTAGTTCTTTCGGGACTAACTCAGGCACCACAAGCAACAACTCTGTTATACCTGGAATGTAACAAATAACATTGTTATATAGGGAGCAAATATTTATTAAGAAAATCAAAATTTTAATTAAGCATTATAACTTTGTCCTTCTATGATGACCACCTTTTATTGCAGGAAATGACGGCCTAATTCATACCATTTTCCATTTCTTCATTGATGCAGGGGAGAATTTTTACATCTTTATGAACTCTAAAGCTACATTTTTGGCATTCATCATCTACTTACTCCTCTGATAAGTTTCTTAAAAACTGTTTTATAATAATGATAAAACGAATTTTGATGTTATATCTGAAACTAATGACAACTTACCATACAACAAAATACATATGGAAAGAATTGGTCCACAGGAAACTAGGTAGTTCAAAGGTACGTTACCCAACATAAAGTAACATACTTGTCACACCTAGAAAACATATGGTCACAGAGTAACACTGTTTTCTTCAGTACTTTAACATCACACAACAAAGATCACCCTAAACATCCAAATTCTCTTCTCTTATCTTATTGGGACAGTCATTTACACACAGACATAGGGCTTAGAAGCTGAAGTCTTTCAAAAGCCCTGAAATCAAAGCCAGTATCCCTGAAAAATAATGAAGCCAAACCCAAGGCAGAAGCCAGGGAAACATTTAAAAACACAAAAGCCAAAGCTATGTGAGCTTTACAAAGTCAATAATCAGCTTGATGTCACAGTCTCCCAGTTGTAAATAGCCAGTTAGAAAAAAATTAATTCAAACTTAATAAGCCTTTGCAAATGAGTGAGATATTAATACCTTGCACCTTACCGAGGCAGTAGTACTTTTATGAGGCACCGTACAAGCTCTAACAAGTGAGGGAGTTCTTACCTAGGAACACATAGGTACATTACCATTATCTCTAATGTATAACTGATGTTTCTCAAAAAGAAGTTTGAAGGTAAGGTATAGTATATGTAATATTTGGTGTTTTATTGAACTGAAATAGACAACCTGAAAATATGACTCCATGCTTAGCCAACTGTCAAGGCAGAAGCCAGCCTTTTGACGTGGAACCAAAGCCAAAGCCATAATTTAAAAACGATAGCGAGCAAAAGATTGGGGGGGACACCAGGATCAGCACTGATTTCTCCCAAAATCTCAGGACAAGAAAATGGCTTAAAAACAATACCTTGTCATCTTTTGATACCCTGTATATGACATTAAGGCACAGACATTATATGGGTATCTCAAACAATATACATTTAACCGTATCATGACAGGGCCAGAATTTTCTGACATAATTATTACACCTAGTTTAGCCTTTCTAGTATGATTTGTGCTGTGTGCTGTCTAGTATAATTTGTGCTGGGGTTAAATAAAAAAAACAATGATAACCAAACTTGTAATACAAATCATATCAAGAAACAAAGATGATAATACAAAAAATCTGTCTATTACCTCTCAGTAGATATGTCCGTAAGGAGTTCTTTCGTGCCACAGAAACAAGAGTTGTCCAGGCTCGCACAGTGGGTGTAATAAAGCCACTCAGTTGATACACATATCCCACAGAAGCAAGGCAAGAACATACAGTTGCCACATCCTCCAATGCTTCCCCCTGAAAAAGTGAAGGATAAATATTTTTAAATCTCCTTAAGTACTTCCCTCCACTTAATCAACAAGTAACAACAGCCACTTCTTGAAGATGAACCTTTCCCTAACCACACAAACACATAAAAATGAAAGGATACTTAAAAATCATGAGAATCATATTCTTGAAGTTCCAAATACCTTCAAAGAGAGTTCCTCCCATATCCTGAGTGCAGAGTGCAGGGGAGCAAAGGAGGATTCCTGCGAGTATAAGGTCAAGCAGGTGGGGGCTGGGCGCACATCACAGGCATCATTGACCTGCTCTTCTTCCCCAAGGTCAGTTGCTTGGACTGTCAGGGAAGAAGGCTTCTCAGACTCCTTCACTTCTTCCTATAAATGAGGGCCTGATGGTATAGTGCTTGTAAAACTGATGCAAGTTACTGGCTACCAATTGCCAGTTTCTTCGTCAACGGCTTTATTTAATGAGGATTTAGCTTCATTTTTAGAATCAGATTTGGTTGTGGTGTCATAAAAATTATTACATAATTCAAATCTTAGTGTCCTAAATTAAACCATATACTTAAATTCTGTACACTAAATATATTCATATACCACACATATCAAATATTGTATATTTTCGTAAGTTGATGAAATCATATCACAGAAAATGGTTTTACGAGTCATGTTCCATGAAAACTGTATGTCATGCATCTGTAAACACACTTGATATGATCAGATTAAGTAAATACTTTTACTGAAGAATATCACATCCAATCTGGAAGAGTATGAAAAAGATGACGCAAATCTGTGGTATACCTCTAATTTACCTTTCCCAAAGTCAATTCTTCGGGTAATTTAGGGGGTACCAGTACATAAAGTGTCAACTCACAGCTGCAGTTTCTTGAATCCGCTGAAGGTTGCACAAGTAGAGCCAGAAGTTTGATAGGGCTTCCAACTCTGCGAGTCTGCTGCTGTACCTTTTGTTATTCTATAAGGAGAAAAATAATAACATTTCATTATCATAATACACATGAACTTCATTCATATTCATAATAAAGATAAGCTGTGGGTAAGACAAAAAACAGATTAATTCCTTTTTGTATAAATCATCTTCCCCTACCTTTTAGCAACCCATTTATGTTAAAAATCTTCAATTCTTAGACCAGGCATCTACATTTTGAAGTCTTACCACCAAGATCCCCTCATGACTTGTCAAAACTTTCAATTTGGAAACTGACCTTTGCCTCCTGAATGAGAGCAATAGCTTTCTTGACCAAGTCTACAGCCTCACTACTGGATCCTGCAAGCTCGGGTTGAATCCAGAGCACTTCCACCATCACTAGGAGCCCATAGACCTTAGCCTCGTAAGCGTCTTTCCCACCCTCGCACTCCTCCACCAGGACTCTTCCACAGGAGAGCTGGTCATCTGCTGTGTTTTGGCTGGGTAGGGTTGGAAAAGTGGGATAATAAATATTGGATAGTGCAAACTCTCCATAAGGAAAGGATATACAAATATCATTTGAAGAGGGGTTTTTCATTTACATTGTTAGAAATCAAACACAAAAATGAAGAGAAAAAAAACATAAATGAAAAACATATTTTCCAAGGATATTTGTGTTTCTCCTTTTCTTACAGTCTCTTTTGTATATGTGGATTTTTAATTTTAATGTTTCTGTTAACTTTTAGAGATATAAGAAAGCAATAGAAAAATGAAGAAAAAATACTTCCAAGTCTGTAAAAGCTAACAGAAACATCATAATAAAAAATACACATAAAAAAGACCCATATATGTATAAAAAAAATTAACCAATTAATTTCTAACAAAATTAAAATGTTATAATTTTTCATTAATCAAAACCATACAAAATTTACCTTTGTTTTTTGTAGCTCTCAATTTCATATTTAAGAGCTTCAGTTTTGTTAAAGGTGGCCCCTTCTGTTTCATGGAACTTTCTTCTTGCTTCACCTACCACGTCACATACTGTTAATCCCTGTTACAAACATCAAAATAGGAAGTTATTACATAGTTCAATCATCCATTGATGAGTAAATTGAATTTCAAAAAAGAAAGAGGATATTTCACAACTGTACAATTTCAATAAGAAAAACACTGAAAAAAAAAAAAAAAAAAAAAAAAAAAAAATCTGAAATTCAGACCTTCAACTTTTTATTGCCTGTTCTTTCTGCATCCCTTTTACACTTGACCCACATGTTAACAAGGTCTGTTGTGGTCAAGTGTTTTCTGAGCATGCCTCTTCCTGCAGCCACGGCAGCATCCCAGTGACAACCACTATACCTCAGTGCATCACTCCATAACACCAGCTTCTTATGGAGGGAGGTAGCAACAGTCTTCTGTAAGAGAGAAAAAGTAGACAGGTTATATACTCTGTCCTCTGGAGGACTTTTTCTGATATGTGGCACTTGAATATAGTATGGTATATCAAGATTATATTTTCTGACAATGAATTTCAATTTCTGAAGTCACCCTGGTTTCCTAAGCTAAAATGAAGCACATTCATGATGATACTTCAATTTTGTAAGAAACTTACTTTTTGATCATTTGATGCCATGCTGTAATACATATCAAGCATGTCCACAGATGTTTCAAGAAACTTTCCTGCTATATTGTATATGGTTCCCTTAAATGCCAGAACTCCCAAATTTCCAGCATTGACACCTGAAAATTAAAACTTGATGAGTCACAGTGGCATAGCTTATAATTACAAGTTTAAAAATTTTCAGCCATTGGAATGCACAAGTAGATAGGCTTGAGTTTCAAACCTGAAACATTTCCAACGACACTAACCAACATTATAAATCTGCCATATAGCATCTGGCTTCTTGGCACAGTTGGCTGAGATGAAGGAATTGGCCCTGTTGACCCAGGGGAGAGCTTGCTTCAGGACAGCTTTCTGGTCAGCGGAATTCTTCTGGAGGTCGACATAAAAGCCCAACTGCTGACACAGGACTGTAGCTACCTAAGAGCAAAAATGGTTTGGCTTTACAATTAGAGTCTAAATTACAGGTCATGCCGTTTTTCTTATCTTGGTTTCTTATGTTGATGTCTAACGACAATATGATCAGGTGTACAAAGATTCATATGAATTCATATTTAACCATATTTCTAATTAATCTAAATACATCACAGTAATATTTTGTATATGCATCAGTATTTTAGGCTTCTATTTTGTACAAACATCACACTATATGGCTTGATAACTTACAACTATTCTCACTGTATGATTTCCTTACCTTCTTCACATTTTCATCAGTTAATGGTGAACTGCACCGACTGAGAAGGGTTTCCACAAGTTTGTCTAAGAGCTGCATACTTATCATATACTGTTGACAAGAGAAAATTAGTAGGTTTGACTTACAACATCAAAGGAAAATATCTGGGCATAGGATTAACACTCAATATTAATATTTCCTTTATCCAATATCCATTATCATTTCATTATTGCACAAAAAATTATATCTTTGTAAACAACAGCAAGCCCAACTAAAGTAAATTAATGATGAGAAATAACAAATGAAAAAGCAGAAGTATCTTATACCAGATCTATCATCAGTCAGTGAACTTTCATATAAGATATTTATAATGTGCCACTATCAATTGTTCCAAAATTTACAAAGAGATACCAGACAAATGAAAATATTACCTAATGCTCAGATTTCACCAAAATTAATGTAAAACATTCATTATATCAATAATAGAAGAAAAAAAACATACATCAAGAATACACAAAATTTCAGTATACTTACTGTGACATCTCTACCACGCTGTTGTTCAAACATGGCAGTAGTGCAGAGAAGACTGAGGAGTAAGATCATGTTCGGCACTAATGAAGACGACACAACGCTGCATGACTGGAGGAACTTCATCATCATATCCTCACCGCGCTTTCCCAACTTTATGGCCATAGCCAACTCCATCAGCTTCAAGCCTACTTTGAGTGCCATGACAGTCTGTTGGTCACAGCTCTGCTCAAGAACAGCTACAAGAGGACCTGCTATGCCACTGAAATCTGCACATTTATTCAGTCTGAGGAGAGTTTTGGCGTACTCTACCACAAGACCGAACACGGACAGCACCGTATCTCCATTCACTTTAGTGCCCCTTTTCATGTTACCCAAAAGACCAGAAATAACAGTTGGGAAGAACTTCTCGAGGTGATCAGATGTTTTTTGAACATGCTCAAAATTAGCTACAGCCTTCAGAGCTTGTTCACACACTTTATTAATACTTGTTCCTGCAGCCAAGAGGAATTGTAAAGCATATCCCTGGAGCATCAAGGCCTCAGCAGGTATATTGTGGCTCAGACTTGCATTCCAAACACTCTGGTACAAATTCTTGACAATGGCCTGTCCATCACCCTTGGTTGTGTCACACTGTGGCACATAAGGCATGACACTTGACACTAACTGTATCAAATGCCGATGTAACTCCTGCAAGAGAAGAAGAAAGATATGTCTCTCCACTACATAAATTTTCACAACAGCTTCAAAGTATTAAGATATGTTGATCAATCATATTCATAAAACATGTATACTGTATATACATTTGGTACTGTAAATTAAAATCAGGTGACCTAGCAATACATACTTTTCTCTTTGAAGTAATAAGTATAACATAAAACATGGATTTGAGGTGGAATATTGCATCAACTGTTGCAGGGCCTTGCTGGTGTTTGCAACAAATATTCACAATATCCACAATGCCTGAGAAAACTTGAACATTAATGTCCTGTTGTTCATAAACAAGTCTGGAACAGTGTCGGAGGATCTGCTGACTCTCTGCACTCCCATTGCATGTAGATAATAATACCTGAAACAAGAGATATCAACAGGTCATCACAGGCCTTCATAGCTAAAATTTAAAAAAGTTCTTAAGGGCAGTGAAACAGATATCTAACCAAGCACACATATTCCATGCATTATCGTAATTCACTTACTCTGACATTGTCCTGAAGGCTATCCACTTGGCCCGCCTTCACCTTCTTCAGAATGTTGGTCAGGTCTGCCATCACTGCTCTGCATATGAAATTTTTTTTATAAATATCTCTATATCAATGCATGATAAAGTGATCTTGGTGTCTCATATGTGGGACATCCGTCGTGAGTGAGTTAAGGAAAAACTGGTAAAATAGGTTATGAAATAATCAACGATGAATACAGGTAGAGATGGCTGTTAGAGCAGTATCAGAAGAGTCTAGGGGATGAGATAAGGGGACTGGGGAAGGAGGTGAGGTATCAGGAAAAGCGTCAGATGGGTAGGAATCCGGAGAAGAACACTGTTGCAACAGAAGGGATACATACGAGTATCCAGGTGAGAAAGAGCGAAGGACTGTTTTGGAATAGGTAGAGAGAAAAACCATCATCGTGCTTCCTGCCTAGCCTCACAAAGAGTGAGGCCAATTTGAATCTGAGAACTGCTACCTCACATTTGAGCTTATATGCAGAGCAGCTCCTATAAAATACATAACGGGAGTCACCACAGTTGGCACAGGTACGTGACTATACAGGGCAATTTGAACAGTCATGACCATGTTGGGCACATAGAGGGCAGCAAGATGTGGAGCAACGGTATTTGGCTGGGTGGCCAAAACGCCAACATTTCTGACATTGACAGGGATGGGGTCGATATGGTCGGACATAGACAATAAGGAGCCCATGGCTCCCGGAGGCCATTCATGACTGACACAAAGCGAGCCTTTCATCCTTTCAATACAGCTCTCATACCTTAAGAATGGGACAGAAGAAGGGGATGAAGAAGATACAGAAGAGAGAGACAGAAGAAGGGGATGAAGAAGATACAGAAGAGAGGGACAGAAGAAGGGGATGAAGAAGATACAGAAGAGGAGAGGAGGAGGAGAAAAGACCAAGCAAACTTAGTTGAGGTGAGGGCTGAAGTCCAAGGCAGGGGCAATCCCTACATTGGGCTCCAGTCTGCCTACTAAGCTTCTCCATAACAACAACGAGCAAGGTATTGGGAGGGGATAATTGGGGGGGGGGGGAACCTCATTGATGAAAATCTGAAATTACACAGATATCATATATGTCAAAATGGCAAAAAGAACACACTATACCAGCAAACATGTATACTCATGTCTCATTTACAAATACAATTAAATATAATAGGAGTTATATGTCATATATACATAATAAAATAAATGATATCAGTCAACATATGGACAGGTATACTGATATAAAAACCACAGAAATATTTCCATTATTTTCGTCTGCGATGGTATTCTTAAAGGTCTCATATTTGAACCAAACCATCTGTTGGTTGAATTTCTGTATTTCTAATTACTGAAGTAACATATTCTCCTTTCAAACACTGCCTGAAGAAGTGGGAACAATTATTCCTTTCACACGCTACCACATATAGCAATGAACTGTGCAGTTTCGACATTACTTTAACTGGATAAGTAATGATGAAAATGAATTGAAGCTATTCCTTAAATTCTTCTTATCCATTCACTCGAGGAAATAGAAAGGCATATTTCAACCAAATAATTTGCAAAAAATTCAATTGGGTAGTATTTTTGGAATACATCCACCTAAAGGATTGCAACAATTTCAGTATCACTGGATTTCTCTCACTGTCCTGTTTCCACATATATAGAAATTATTGTACAGAAACACCCCAAACCCCTCACATTCTTGGCCCTGATAGCAGGGGAGGGCATGAAAGGTACCAGGGAAATTGTGGGGTAAAATGTAAATGATATACACAGAATCAGTCGCTATATTGTCTAATCCAAGGGGCTGTGCCCCCTGTAACCCCTATGTGGAACTAGTACCCTCAACCCCTGCCCAAGAAAACAAAGAATCCAACATGTATTCATGGCAGGAGAAAGCGTCAGACAGACTTGGCAATGCCGCTCCCACATGGAGGTTGTACACTTGCGTTTGCCGTGAATATGTGGAGGATTCTTTGCTTTCCTGGGCAGGGGTTGGGGTAGCCACCCCCCATGGAGGATTGCAGGGAGCACAGCCCCCTACAATAAACAATATAGTGACTGATTCTGTGTATATCATTTACATTTTACCTTTATGCCCTCCCCTGAAATCAGGGCCAAGAATGTGGAGGTTGGGGGGCCTTCCACACTAATAAAACCTACATATTTGCATAGTAAACGATGAGAGGAATCCAACAATACCCAAATCATTGCGATCCGTTAGGCTGACGTGTTCCAAAAAATTACCTTCGATTGGCACATATGGCTGATAAAACATAACAAAACATATTTTATACAATAACTGACTCCTAACACACACACATTCTACTACATGGCTTTCAACAGTAATTCTTCCATATTCAACATTTTTCCCGATCGATATTATTTCATTAAGAGCAAAATGAGCAATCTCTGTTAGTAATAAGCCTCGTATCATCTAGTGCACATTAATAACAACATATATAACTTCGCAATTTAAACACACGACCAAAACAGACTCACCTTCCATAACACCACAACTACACCTTCTACGCCTTCATTCTCAACATACTTTCCCAAACCCACTGATTAACAAAGATCCCATCTACACAAAAACACCAATAACTCCACAGAAAAGACCCCAACCTTACGTAAATTAAGCCGAAATTCCAGACAGCTTCAACTCTCCATCTTTTTCGCCATTCAAACACAACACCAATGTAGGGACGGACCTCGGCGGCGACCCACGCGGCGGAATTCAGGAAAAGTAACTCGCCCTCTGGACCTTTCCATACATTTTTTAATAGTATTCTATTTATTCTAAATTGCGGTTGTATATTTTGTTTAGGAGGAAATGTAGAATACTGTGATTTTTATTTAGGTTCTGGATATGTTTGCAGCGTATTTCATTCTTTATAGATCTCTAGCATTGTTTAAATGTCGGAGTCCCGAAAATATTAGAATTTCACATAGAAACGAGCATAAAAGCAAATTTTATATCTCAAATGAATAAATAACAAATGATATTTTGAAACTAAAAACTCAATAACGATAACAATTACCAAACTATATAAAAACATTAGCTTAGCAAACGTTTTCTTCTAATAATGTCAGGGGGGACTAAAAAAAACATGAATCAAAGGAATAATCATAAATAGGTCGATGATTACGAACAATCGATTATATTTAGTTTACATAAATTACCAGTATATATTTGACTTTATAATTTCCACGCCAGTGTCTACTTTACACACAAATGAAAAAAAGTAAATAAATTGATATATAAAGAGATGCAACATACACATAATTTGAAATGATATATAAAACATGTATATCAAAGACCGTCTTTGATGTATATATTTGAAAACGAAAACAACTACAGTAAAAAAAATATATATATATATTCTGTAACGCTTCGAACTCTTCACAAGTTCCCCTTAGAGGATTAGTGAAAACAAA